ATAAAAGAGACAACATTAAGTAGGATATCTGACACAGTATAACTATCAGAACAAAATACTGAAAGGTAATTTCTCCAGATGGTTCTGATATTGTTGAACAACACAGTATGCACAAGACTATTAGAATGCAAAAGTAGAAAGTTTAGCAGTACTGGTGCTTAATTAAATGCCGATTATCAGTTAGAAATAAATTGATACTTTAATATAGCCTTCAGCTCAACTATAATCGTAACTTTGCTATCTGAGTCCATGTTTTGCCATATGGGTTTCAATGAACTACATATACATGTAATTTCCATATAAACTTTTATACAGATTTAATATTATAATTTTATACAATTTAAAATGTTATTAAAAGAACACTTCCTTTTTTTAATGTATGTTTCATTTAAAAAAGTGTTTTTAGTAGAAACTATCACTTTTTATATATTTAAAGGAACATTCCACTGTTCATATAATTTATTTTTTTAAATCACTGTTTAGTAGATATACCCCAAAAAATGTCTGCATTTTTTTTCACTAGTGTTTATCAAAAAGAAACCTGCAAAAGATGTAGTTCTCTTGCCTGCTGCCTTTACAAGCCCTGTCCAATCACAGACTTTCCAATGCAGCTCAATGAGACATCTTTGCAAGACTGGAGCACTGGACAATTGCTGCCTCTTGAGTTTTATATAAAGTGAAAAAACATTTTTTAAAAATAAAACACTCTTCACACAAGAGGAATTTCAGCAAGCTAAAGTGCTCTACCAACCCCTTTGGCTGTCAATCAGACAATCAATCCTATTACTTCCTGATTGCTTAGCTCAGTGGAGCTAAATTTAAGAGGCATCAGTTTCACAGAGCATCTGCTTTGCAAAGATTTCTCAATGAGCTGCCAGGGCTTGCAAAGGCCAAATGAAATAGATCTGCAGATTTTGTTAGATATACCCTCAAGGAAAAAAAAAACCCAACAACATTATTTCATGTTTTCAATATATCTACTAAATATTTTAGCAGTAGAGTGCACTTTTAATTTTTCTGCATATTCCAATGTTTAATCCCAATGAGTGTCACTAAAGTGACAGAAGGTTACAACAAAGGATTGCAAAGAAAAAACTCCTCATAGACAGACTAATTTGTGTCTTGCAGTAAAACAGAAGTGATTTGCATTTTGAATGCTTTCTTACATTGCTTGTAATTACATATTGAAAAAAATTACCTTATGTTATAAAGTTGTGATTCAGATTTATATGCAACATCTGCACGTGATAAACCATATGAAATCCATGGTTTAAGCAGTTCAAGATGTTTTTTTTTTAATGTCCATGGATTTTGCATGAGAATTGCATGGATTTTGACAGCTAATATAGCACACAGAACTATTCACTAGTATGGATATTCTCATGTGCATAGAGCTCATTCTTTGTGTCAGCCATAATGTGGATGATGGTTTCTGCCTAGCATTGCACTAAAAGAAAAAGTATTAATAAAACCTGCAGTTTACCTACAATTGTTTAATAACTGAGTTGTTGCATGGGAGATATACTCAGCTTTTGCTATTTTTCTTGCATAAAAAAGTCCATAATGGCCTAAGACATTTTCAAAAAAGATTCTTCCAAAATGTATTGTTTTGTTTGCTTATGAGGAAGCAGCCTTCTAGGTGCAAAATGCATTACATTATTTTATTTTTTAATATTTAAAATCTAATTATAAATATAGAATTACATACACACACATAAAAAACTCAGAACTGACATTGCCCCTTGCTATACTTCCTTTATTCAAAATAAACATTTCTGGAGCTGCAGTAGAGCAAGTGAGAGCAAATGACTGGGCCACTAAGTACACGCTGTAATTAGTGTGTGCAGAATATTACATATTCTATGTTCCTATTTGTATTCATATTAGATATGTATGTCTGATAAATAACAGGGCAAATAACAGATTTCAATTGCTATTCTGTACCATGAGAGGTTTGGAATGTGTCTATACCATTAGGTGTCCTTTATATGGCCAAAGTATCAACGAAGAGTTCAGATGTAATTATAGTCATAGCTATATAGAACTGTAGACAAAGAACTTGCATTCTCTGTTCTTTGCTTATCTAGAACACTGATTTCCAAAATTTTTCACTTGAGTGCCCCATGGCAGCCCATTTCCATAAATTGTACCCCTCATATTAGTGAAATGTTTGTAATTATTACAGTTTCTGTTATTTCAAATGTATATGTTTCTCTCTGGCCCAGCCAGAGGGGCCCGGTCACGTTATTACATTGCCGCAGCACTGACCAGGCCCCTGAAGATGTAGGGCCCAACGGGTGGCCCTAAATGCTTGGGCCATCCGATGGGTCCTATCAGCATGGTTCTGCCGCTACACATGGTGGCCCTGTATTTGTGTATGTGTCAGTGTGTATCTCTAAGTCTGTGTGTCAGTGTATGTATCTGTTTGGCTGTGTATGGTGTCAATGTGTGAATCTGTATGTGTGTAAATGTGTGTGTACCTATATATCTGTGTACCTGTGTGAATGCCAATATATGTATCTGTATGTCTGTGTATGTATCTGTATGTCTGTGTATCAGTGGGTGTCAGTGTTTGTATCTGTATATTTGTCTATCGGTGTGTGTGTATCTGTATGTCTATCTGTGTGTGTTAGTGTTTGTATCTGCATGGCTGTGTGTGTGTCAGTGTGTACATCTGCTTGTCTGTGTGTCAGTATGTATTTGTATTCCTGTGTATCTGTGTGTGTCAGTGTGTTTTTATCTGTATGTGTCAGTGTTTATCTGTGTGTATCAGTGTGTGTATCTGTATGCTGGTGTATGTATCAGTGTGTAACTGCATGTTGATGTGTCAGTGTGTATTTGCATGTCGGTGTATTTGTGTATGTATCAGTGTGTATCTGTATGTGTCAGTCTATTTGTATGTCTGTGTATGTGTCAGTGTGTGTATCTGTAAATCTTTATATCTGTGTGTATTTGTATGTCTGTGTATCTGTGTGTGTCAGTGTGTGTATCTGTGTGCATAAGTGTGCATCTGTATGTCTGTTTATCACTGTCTGTGTGTGTGAGTGAGTGCTTCAATGTATATATCGGTATGTCAGTGTGTGTGTCATTGTGTGTATCTACATGTCTGTCTGTTTGTCAGTGTGTTTATCTGCATGTCTGTTTGTCAGTGTATTTGTATGTCTGTTTATCTGTGTGTGTCAGTTTGTGTGTGTATCTCTATCTCTGTGTATCCTTGTGTGTGTCTGTATGCATGTGTATAAATCAACATGTATCTGTATGTGTGTATCTGTGTATGTCAGTGTTTGTATATGTGTATCTGCATGTGTGTTGGTGTGTGCTGTATGTGTCTGTATCTGTATCTGCATGTCTGTTAGAAGGGGGGGGGGGTCCGGGTCCCATGTGTAGCAGCGGAACCGCGCTGATAGGACCCATCAGGTGGCCTTAGCATTTAGGGTCACCCGATGGGTCAGTAAGCATGTATGTCAGTATGTATGTCAGTAGACATCTGTATGTATGTATGTATGTAGATCAGTATGTATGTATGTATGTATGTATGTCTGTCAGTATTTGCGTATGTCAGTATGTATGTATGTCTGTATGTCAGTAGGCATGTCTGTATGTATGTATGTAGATCAGTATGTATGTCTGTCTGTATGTAGATTAGTATGTATGTCAGTATGCATGTATGTATTTATGTATGTATGTGTATGTGTGTATGTATGTTAGTATGTGTCTGTGGGTCACTATGTATGTTTGTCTGTTCGTGTATGTCTTAGTATGTGTGTGTCAGTATGTATGCCCATATGTGTGTATGCCTGTTTCAGTATGTGTGTCAGTATGTATGTGTGTGTCAGTGTGTGTGTGTTTCTGTGTGTGTATTCCTGTGGGCAGGGTTTGGAGGAGGGTGCTGTGGACGGGCTTGGAGGCGGGCCCAGATCCTGAGCTGTATTAGGGGCCCCAAAATTTCTGATGGCGGCCCTGCACAAATACACAGACATACAGATACACACACTGAGACAAACAGTTGCACACTGACACATACAGAGAAATACAGATACATACACTAACACACACAGATACAGACATACAGATACACACAGTTACACAGACATACAAATATACACAGACATGCAGATACACACACTGACACAAAGACATACAAATACATACATTGACACACACATATATAGACATACAGATACACACACACTGATACACACAGATACAGACATACAGATACACAGACATACATATACATACACTGACACACAGATACACAGACATACAGATACACACACTAACACAGAGAGATACACCGACATACATATACACACCCAGACAAAGAGATACACACACTGACATACAAGTCAAGATTTTAGCCACCCTACAGGTCCTGCCTTTGGCTGGGGCTGTTGAGAGTTAAGTTGCTTGCTCCAGGTCCTGCTCCCCCCTCCTCATGGGCGGCTCAGAGTATGTTTGTGGTGGGAGGATGTGACAGGCTCGCCATTTCTTCCAGCTCTCCCTGTGGGTAAGAAGGGGCCCATTAACGCTCTTAAAGCAGAGCAGCACACGACCGGGCCCCTCATGGCACATGTCTATCGGGTGACCCTAAGTGCATGGGCCACCTGATAGACTCATGGTTCCCAGCCCGTGAGGTGCTACTGGGGCTGCCTTCACTGATTTCTTTTCGCGTATGCCCTGGGACACTGGATTGTAACACGTGTGCATACCTCGGGTTGGGAATCCCTGTTCTAGACAAATACATTCTCTACTTCTCTCTGATGATTTATTATTCTTTGTAACATTAATAAAATATGCCATTTGTCAAGTTGTGTTTTTTTTTTTCATTTGTACAGCTGTTTGCATAGTTAGTAAAATAAATATATATATATTTTTTTATAATGAAAGAAAGATTCCTTGTTCATATGTATGGGGTGATATAGAAGACTATTACATTTAGCCACTTAAAGAAGTAAGTATATAACTAAAAAGAAAAACTCCAATCACCCTTATAATTGTTTGTGTGTGTGTGTGTGTGTGTGTGTGTGTGTATATATGTATGTATATATATATATATGTATATATATATATATATATATATATATATATACATACATACATATACACACACACACACATATCACAATGAGACTGTTAGGAACATATTTAAAGAATGTTTTAGTGTCTGATCTCATTAATTAAATTACTATATTAGGGTTGTTGTTGAAATCTAGTTCTGTGTTTTGTATTTTTTGTATACACACCACACTGAATCTTTCAAATTTTAGAGAACAAAACTGAACAGAGGAAGATATTACAAACACATAATAAAAACACATCACCAAATTAGCAGGTCCAGACACCTTTAAAATGAAAGAAAAAAAAAAGATTAAACACTTTGGTACATACAATACAAAGCTACCATAATGAGCACTAAAAGTAAAAGGTAAACATAATTACTTTTATAAATGTCATATACTCTAGAGATTACTTTGTCAGAAAGCTAAAGAAAGTGTAGATATTAAAGCATTTGTTTTGTCTCTTGGCACAGACAGAGCTTTTCAATTGAACATTTCCTGACAAAACTGCTAATGCTGACACAAATATTTTCAAGCAAAGTGTAGTCTTCTGAAACAAGACAATCAGTGGAAGAGTAAAAGAGTAAATTTTAACTAGTCTTTTTTTCCCCCAATTTTTTATTTATTTATTTTATCAAAGCACATACTAAATCAGTGTTTGTCTGTCTGGCTGTTGGTCTGTCTCAAACCTCACACATTATACAAAAGCAGTACCTGTTTTTCCTTTAACAAGTTAAAAAGTACAATGAAACTTTCCATTACCTGCATAATTGACCAGGCAACCTTCCAGCGGCACCAACGCAACTTTATTGCATTTGATAGGTTTTGGCCTCATATTCACAATATATTTTCCTTAAAGGACCACTCTAGGCACCCAGACCACTTCAGCTTAATGAAGTGGTCTGGGTGCCAGGTCCAGCTAGGGTTAACCCATTTTTTTTATAAAATCTGTTTATAAATGGGTTAATCCAGCCCTCAAATCCTCTAGTGGCTGTCTCACTGACAGCCTCTAGTGGCTGTCTTACTGACAGCCACTAGAGGCGCTTGCGTGCTTCTCACTGTGAAAATCACAGTGAGAACACGCAAGCGTCCATAGGAAAGCATTGTAAATGCTTTCCTATGAGACCGGCTGAATGCGCGAGCAGCTCCTGCCGCGCATGTGCATTCAGCCCAGGAGGTGGATCGGAGGCGGAGAGGAGGAGGAGAGCTCCCCGCCCGGCGCTGGAGAAAGGTAAGATTTAACCCCTTTCCTCTCCCCAGAGCCCGCCGGGAGGGGGACCATGAGGGTGGGGGCACCCTCAGGGCACTATAGTGCCAGGAAAACGAGTATGTTTTCCTGGCACTATAGTGGTCCTTTAACAATTAAATCTCCTCTTGAAAAATGTAAAACTATTTTACAGCTTTCTAAATTATAAATCTGCCTTGAATTTTATAATTTTAAATATTTGAAAATTATAATAAAGGAATTCTCCAAACACCGAAAGCACTTTAGCTTAAAGATGTCAAAGAAATTAGGCACCAACACAACTTCAGTGGCACTTTCTGCATTATAACTCTGCCCCTTAGCCATGCCTCCCCTTTTTCACAAAACATATTACTGTTTGGAAGTACACAGTGTACATACAAAGCTCATCCAATGAAAAAGCGGTGTGAGCTGAGCTGCTTGCTGACATGACTCCGTCTCCTAGGTATTCACGGGCCATTTTCCCCTAAGCACTATAAAGACAGCATAGAAATGCTATATAATATATATATACTTAGTCATAACACATATGAAAATTTTACTTTATAAATGTCCAGATTCTATACTTTATATTAAGGATTTGGTTAAGAAAAGCAGAGATTTTACACTAGATACAAAATGGATTCAAAAAGCATAGTTATCATTGGAATGAACACATTTTGTTCAATATGCTTGTTCCATAAATAGGGACACCAGAAAGTTAAGCGCAGAAAAACAAGTTTTAAAAAAAAATCATCATTAACAAATGTTCTAGGTGATTAGTACTGGAATTTAAATTAGATGGTTTATCATTTTGCAAACATGGAAAAACTGAAATGGAAATGTAACCAATTACTTTGTCTCTAACTATCTACACATGTATATCCTTTGAGAAAACAGTTCACTTTCAACAACACCATAAAGTTCATCAAGCATGCATTATATTTCAATATTTATGTTTAAAAAAAATGTATGTTAAAGGTGGTACTTAAAAAAGATTGGCATTGGTAAAGCCATGGTTGGATAATTATTTTCAAATGCTGTATAAGACTACAATCTTCTTGCCTACCACATGCCACTTTTCATTTATGTATTATATGTGATTTATTTTTCTTGCACTGCTATATCCTCTGGTCTTAACTTCTTCATAAAAATGAAAGGTTACCATCAAATGCATAGGTTATCTTGTCGCCTGCCATAAAGTACTTGTTTTAAAGCCCTTTTGATAAATGTCACATTGTCAAGACTTTACGGACACTTATTTAATGTTCAGACATGCTGAATGGTTTGTCTAAATGAACACTTTGTTGTTTCGCTCTAGGAACTTGCTAGGGAATATATGTTACTAACAAATTAATGAAGGGCACACAGGTCTAACTATTTCATTTCAAATATATTTTTAAGTTATTTTCATTAATTTTTGACCAACGATTTACTAACACTTATAATGTAATTTGATGTTAGCTAAAAAGGCATATATACACTTAATTGTTAAATATGTGATTATTACTGATATTAAAATTATTATTTGTGGCAGTGCTCCCTGTACCCTGGCTGGGTACCTCTGCCAAGGACCGCTTCCTAGCTGGAACAGGGGAAAACCTCAGCGCTTCTGCCCCAGTCACCGTGGCTTGACTGGGGTCTTCCTGGAGCCTTTCCATCTTGGACCCAGATAGGGGACTTGCTCTATTTCCTCCCAATGACTGGACAACACACAGTCCTGGGAGCTCTAGTCCTTACAAGGACTTTTCCCCGACGAATCCTCCACGAGTTGGAACAAGGTGCTGAGCAGTGATTATAGCTAGACGACACATAGTTCTGGGAGTACAACTGATTTTAATGAGCCAAACTCTGCTTTTTTTTTTTGCACAGACCCCAGCAGGGGGTCTCTATTGTATTCAACACAAGTCCCTCCCAGGAATCTCTGGACCTGGGAGATAATTGCGTTAAAGACCAGTGAGCTAATTATCTCTGAGGAACAGAGCCAAACACAAAAATATAAATATATAAAAGTACCCCAAAACATAATAAAAACATAAAATAACCCCACAAATAATACATATCTAAATAGCCCTGATCTGAGCACTCATGTTCTCCAAATAACATTCAGATCCATGCAGTGTAGGGGAAACTCCACCATGTTAAAGTTCTGACTGGTCGCACACGTGGTCCTATCCCCAAAATAGTTCCAGGGCGTTTGGTGCTTTTGCCGGTCAACTTTCGGGAGCTCCTGCAGCTGCAATACTGGGTGCTCTGCCTGGCTCTTAGGTAGCATTTGTTCCCCTTAGTCTCAGGCACCTTCCATCCAAAAAGCTCTCTCCTGGCAGATTTCAAACTGGTTCAAAACCACAAACCAAGTTGTCCGGGAACTGCACAGTCACCTCATGCCGAAAACAGTTCCATAACTCGCAGCTAAGTCCAGCTGAGGTGACCAGGAACCCACCAAGTCCTCATGTCAAAATTAGTTCCATAGAGGTCGCAGGTAAGTACTGCTGAAGACTGTTTGTGGGTTTGTTTCATGCGAACGGCCGCCAGAGAGCCAGTGTTCGGTTCCATTCGCAATTAGGGAAAGTGCCGAACCAGTGGCACCCAGGGAAAGCTGCTAATGGCTGCTGGGCAGGTTAACTCCCAAACGGTGTCCCAGACCTGAACGATAGTTGTAGGCAGGAGGCCGGCTTCCACACTCCTTCAGGAGCCGGTGGCAAACCTTTGTGGGAAGGAGCATTTGTCACATATCTTCCCTCTCTGGGTGGGTCTGACCAGATCCCAGACCTCCAAACAGTCTGGGTCTGTGTTAGTCTGTGGCAGTCCTGTCACAAGCTCCCGTTTGTAAATCCAGGCTTCTGCTGGGAAGGGAAACTGCTGCACTCCACTCCGTGTGGATCAAGTTGTTGCTGGGGATGGAGGAAGCAATTCTCCTCTCTAGGGGATAACTTCTGCCGCTGGGGAGTGAGACTGACTGTCTCTCCTCCCTAGATCACACTCTGCCACTGGGGAGTGAGACTGACTGTCTCCACTCCCAATAACTCGCACTGCCACTGGAGAGGAAGAACAATAATCTTCTCTCCCTGGAACTCACACTGCCGCTGGGGAGTGAGACCATTTGTCTCCTCTCCATGGAACATAATCTGCCGCTGGAGAGTGGGACTAACTGTCTCCACTCCCTATAACGCTCCCTGCTGCTGGGGAGTGAGACCGGTTGTCTCCACTTCCTGTAACATGCTCTGCTGTTTGTTACATTATTCATGTTATTATTACTAATATTATTATCTGTCTTTGAGGTTCTTAAGGATAAAATCCAACTTTTTTGATTATAATAGGTAGTTTTTTGCAAACTGGCTATTTTAGCCTAATTTGGAAACCATATCATCCTATCACAAGTAATTATTTAAGAAATATTTTGGGAAGTAAATGAACATTTTTGGGATATCATCCATTTCAATTAAAGTCATTCCTCTCCACCCACTAATTTTCATTCAAGTATAAAGTGTAAAATGGGCTCAATGTTAATGGATCACTTACACCTGTCACAGTGCCAAGAAACTGGGCGTCTCATGGTGGCTAGAAATTTTTTTTAAAAAGTGAATGAAACCAGAGAAAGCCAATGTTCACTGTGAAGAAGCAGCAAAGTTTACGGTCTTAGAGTAGTTTGTTGATGGAACAGCCAGCCACATCATGACATGCACATGACATTGTCCTACACATGAGGGTTCTAGAAGAGTAACTTTTCCAAAAAGTACCAAGTGAAAAAGCTTTGGAGGTTATGTATGAAAAGAATTGTGCTCACTTTTTATTTAGTATATTTATCTGGAACATTTCATATTTGCACCAATTTCATTGTTCTAGA